TGATTTCCATTTAAATGCAAAAAGCGCAGGATATGTACGAAGTTTTACATCGAGGTCCAATGGCTTCCACAAATTAGATTCAGACATAAAACGTCAAAATCGCCTAACAAATTTAAATCAAAACTGAGAAACTTTATGATTTAGAACGACAAATATGATGAGGCACCATATGGTATGAATTTATTATTATTATATATTACTTTCACTTGTTCATTTAGCCATTTGCGCAAAATGAATCTTCCTACTATCTGTACAAAGTCTACCTTGGTGAGCGAAACGTCAGTGAAAAGTAATTCTAACATACAGGGTGAATCAAATATGAACTGGTCTTTTGTTTCAGTAATTTTATTGGTATGGTAAATACAAGTTATCTTATCTTATTTTTCTAGATAATCTCCTCTCTTATTGATGCATTTTTCACATCGTATCGGAAGTTTTTCAATGCCCCAATCAAAGGATGAAGCTGATCGTCAGTAGCCAATTGTTTCCACACCTTTGTCCCCGTCATAGGGACTATAAGGCGGGTGTTCAAGGTTTCCCAATGAATTTCGCATATTTTTTTGTCAATCAGCTGTGTGTGGCTCAGAGTTGTCATGGAGCAGAATGGCACTTCGAATAGGCATGCCTCGCCTTTTGCGCTGTTAGGCCAGTTTTACTTCTTAAACAGTTGACAGTAGTAAGTGTGATGAAAATCACATAGTAGTACCACTGTGGAATCCCAAAATACCATTGCACAAAACTTTTCCTGCGAACGGACTGGTCTTGGCTTTTCGCGGCGCTGCCCCTCTCGGCTTTCGCCACTCCAAGGAAACATTTTTGCCAGTCGTATATTGATCGACCAGCCAAAGATTGCTAGGGACGAAAGGGGGAAATGCGATGAAAAAACCTTACCATTAGACGATTTTATATGGAGTCATAGGCGGAGATCGGAGAGACTTGAATTATTAATTGAATTTATATTTTATTACAACTGGTAGTATTAATATTTTTTTGCGATTCATAATGACGTGATACCAAACATACATTATAAGAAATAAATATACACAAACACTGAATATTGAGAACAAAATAAATATATTTTTTAGGCAACAAGTAATATTCCTATGTACGCATTATGATTGAACAGCAAAACAAATTATGCATTCTTCTAAAATAGAATACAACAAGTCAAAAATATCTGACTGAATAGAAAAATATAGGAAAACAAAAAGTAATTTCTTGATGAAATAACCCATAAACAACACATAGAATTAGACTTTCTACTGAGATACTAAAAGCCACAAACCAATAGTATAATAAATGAATATCTAAAAATTCTAAAAGGTAGCCAATCTAGTATAGTTTCAATCCTGATTAGAGTCATGATCACTGTCTGAGGAACTGTCATTGCTATCACTTTCACCTCCTATGTTGATTATTATTTCTTCCTGTATTTCTTGAATGAGACTGTCTTTTTCCCAATATTCATCTTCAATTTTTATAACATGTCCAATAACCTTTTGCCAGTCACTGGCACTTACTGAAGCGATGGCCTTATTAGAAATTTCATCTAGTTTTTTTATAGTAAATTCGCCGCTTGTATTATGGCTTCTAATGAAAAATTTTACTTGTGCCCAAATCATCTCTATGGGATTAAACTGACACATATAGGGTGGCGTTCGAAGTGGGGTGTGTCCGAAACTTCTTATTAAATTATCTATCTTATAATTTTTCTCATCAGATGGTGGCCTATGTAGACAAGCTATTTCATAAAGCTCCATTTTTTTAGCATTAGGATCATGCTCTATACCTTTTTTGCTCAACCACGTGATGATGTCTCTTTTTAGAGAAGATCTAGTTGGAGGCTTGTCTTCCAAAGCTGAATGGTAAGGTGCATTATCCATTATTATAATACTATTAGGAGGAATGTTAGGAAATAGTTTTTCAGTAAGCCACTTCGTGAAATTTTCTTGGTTCATTTGACCGTGATAATCACCAGTGGCACAGCCAGCCTTGAAAATGAGACAGGCTCCAGGAACAAAACCATCTTGCGAACCCGCATGAACAATTATAAGTCGTCCTGGAAATGAATAAATAGCCTCATTTTAGTGTTATTTTAAGTTTGCCAACACCTTTTTGAATCACTATGTATAAAAAACATATTTTTGAGAAAAAAATACTTGCAAGGGATTATGTATTCAATTAGACAAATTAAATGAGCACTTATTAAGAATATTCCAAAATTGAGAAAAATGTATAATAAGCAAAATCGAGGTGAAAGAAACTTTATTACCTGTAGAACTTATATTGCTCAGGACACCCATAATTTCTTCGCTTTGCCAGCATTTCTTGAAAGTGAGGTCATTATCAACCCAAGTTTCGTCCAAATAAATAATATGCCTTCCTTCTTCCCGGAACTTTTTAATAGACCTAAGATACTTGTATCGCCAATGTAAAATACTGGGTCTTTCCATTAGTAATTTCCTTTTGTTGTGGCATTTACGCCAGTAAAATCCTTTTGCTTTTAAAAGCAGCCTCAACGATTCTTTACCAAATGGAAATTCCATTTCTTCCTTCAGTTTGATTAGAAGTTTACTACAAGTAGGTACCACTTTAAAATCACAGTAAAATTTTTCTATCATTCTCCGAATAATGGAAAAATCGACTCCATCAATTTTTTGGATCACAGAAGGGCGTGATCTCTTTTTTCCGGGAGAAGCTAAAGGCTGTGTGGAGGTTGCATTTTGCCTGTCTTTATCTTCTTTTCTAATTTTACTTATAGTTCGTTCACTAACACCCGTATAATATGCCGCCCTTGCATTTCTAGCTACCAGTGGATAAACGAAAGTATTGTTAGCCGCTTCTGCATCGCAAGCACGTATCACGTTTGCTATTATTTCCCTTGCCTGGCTGTGAATAACTTTCCCATGCTTGAATTCCATTATCACCACTAAACAGTAAATTATATTTTCAAAGTATTTGCCAACTGCCTACGCCTATGGGAGTAGGTTTATAAATGACCGTGCCATCGGCACGTTATTCTAGTTTCAGATAAGATAAGAGTTTTGGACCAATCAGCGACCGGATGTTTACCTGCGGCCTGGGTTTTCCAGCTACATTGCCAAATTCAGCGGAACAATTCTATATCTTAAATATGTTAATATGTATGGACCGCATTTTATGTAGAACATCTGACAACTTCGCAATTTTTTGTCCGCATTCTTTCGGCTTGCAATCTTTCGCTGGTCCAACTTTACTTGTATCTTCGAAACTGTCTTATCGCCGAACTGTGCTGTTAATCGACGCAAAATTTCGGAAGGTTTTACGCGCTCCCGCGACCAAAATTTTATGATAATGCTTTGCGCAACAGTACCTCTTGCTCAGACATGATGCTACTAACAGCTCATTTACTTCGCGCCAAACCGAGACGTCGCCTCACTCCATTCGCGTTAAACAGAAAAGTCCGGTTCATATTTGATTCACCCTTGTACGTGGTTTCATTTGGCTAGAAGAACATGGAGTTCTGAAGTCACGCAAACCCACGTAAAAAATGTAAATTGATAAGTGGACAGAAGAATCGGTGCAAGAGGTCCCAATACTATATTTGTACATATGTACATACCCTTCTTTTGCGAAAGCAGGTCCTGGTTGCCTGATTGCTTGTGAGTTTATATTACGTGACAAAATGTGTTGTTTTATGAAAACATTCTATCTATAAAATATTTTTGCGAAAGGGTACCCGACGTACAAAGAAAAAGTTAAGAAGCGTCCTGGTGGTAGGGCTGAAGTAATCTACAATTACGTACAGCGACCCTTCATTCACATGTCGTGGGAAAAGGAAGAGGCGAAGAGCAGGCATGTGGACTTCCAATGCGTCAAATCAAAAAGTGTCACAAATTTAGCAGAGGCCACCGCAGATCCAGCTTTGGAGCTTGATTCTAGAGGTGAGGTATTTGGTTCTTAGGGGATCCTGGAACTTGAGAGGCATAGGAAAAATTTGGAACACGTTTGATACATGATAAATTCGTTTTTCAAGTTTTGGTTAACTAAAACGTAATTTTTAATCTAGCAACGCTGATTCTACGTCTAAACTATATTGTCATATACGTTTTATGGCGCATTTGTGTCTCGTGCCATCCTTAAACATCTCAAGTTAACCACCGTTTTAGGATAAAGTTGACAGTGAAATACGCATTTTGAGAGTTAACATCTGGGTAATAGTAAAATTACAATTAACCTGCAATTGAAAAACAGGGCTTTAGCGACATGCAACACGAACGCGAAAAATATCGTGCTTTTAACGCCATGTTAGTGTCGCCGTCGGTCTATCAGGTAAACGGCATTCCAAGTAATCCAAATTATACGAACGACAATCGCGTCCGCGTTGTCCGAGCGTTCATCGCGCTGTAAAAGTAAAAGTCATTCACGGTTGCTTCAAATTGCTTGACTTCACGACATTCCATATACAGGTGCTTTGTTCACATAGGACCATCTGTACCGGTTCGGAATGGAGTGAGTGAATATTTGTTCCGACTCTATATTGCGCTGAATAATTCAGATCTCTGAAATTAGTAAATAGCTTTTGGTTATGTTTGCAACAAAGGCATTATGGAACAATTGTGAATGGGGTGCTCAACACGTTGGCCATGATGTCGAGCTTCAGCGTCATTTTTTTATTTTTTTTTATATCGAAACAGCCGCGCAGGCAAAACCCTAAATGCCGGAACACCGCGGCTGCTATGATGATCCCAAAGAAATTTTGTTAATACGATTTTTGAACTGCCTAAGGTTAGTAGAACTGGGAAAAGCTTCCTCCCGTAGATTGTTCCACAATCTAGACACCCTCGGGACAAAGGAGCGGTCGTATCGGCCAGTTCTGGATGTACGAAGTTTGACACGGTTAGGATGGGACGCCGAAGTCAGGCGGATCTGTCTGGCAGGCACATCGCGCGGCGGCATCATGGAGGAGAGCTCTGAGGAGCAAAGCCCGTTGGTGTAGCGATAGAAAAGAGCTAGATGTTCATTACCAAAAAAGACGTACCCATAGGGACCGTTCTAGCACCATGGATTTAGCTCTCAAATGAACATCGAAGAAAGGATCCTTGTTTTCCGCGCTTTTAGCGTAACTCAACATTTACTGAAATCCGTCAGTGTTCATCATGAAATGTGCTATTTATTGATATATAAGGTTGAGTAGAAGCCCAGTGACACTGACAGAATTATCAGATCTCTATAGCGTCGCGCAGACACAGCGGCAGTCAGACCGCGCCGGTCAGTGTGAAGGCTCTCGTTCTACTGTCAGAAATACAAAGAACTCGTGGAACGCCTCGTTTGCAAGATGGCTTTCATAGGAAAAAATACTGCCACTCTTTCTTTTGTAGATATAGCATTTCTCTAGTTGGTGTCTTGTTTCTCTGTTTCCTTTTTATATAATCATGCAACTCATTAAAACTACTTAATGACATTCGGAAGTAAATAAAAAACCGTTCTTCATCTTCAAGCATTGCAGGAAAAAGAACTATGAACTCTCCTTTATCATCTCTCTCACAGTTGATCGGATGCAAACTCCTCAAAAACAATGCTTCGTCTTCTGAAGACGAACTACAGCAGTCGCCAACCTGTCAGTGACCGTGTCCAAGATCCCGCCACACAAATTCCGTTCACTGTGCTACGCTATGTAGACGAAATTCACACAAGTCGCCGACCGCTGTACGAACAAAACTAAGATCTGCGGATGAATCACGGAGAAGTCTGACTGTGTTCTTTCTAACGCAAGCCCTGGATGTCAGCTTTGCCCGAGGCAGTTCAGTGCCCCGAAAGTTCTTGTGACTATTTACTGTCAAATGCTCTTTTAAACTAGCATCTAGTTGTAACGGATGGCCGACCTGTCCTAACAAGTCATTAGTTCAACTTCACGTTCAAGTTAGTGAGGACATGAGTTTATTCAAATACGTGCCTCCATTTGCATCAAGCATCTTGTAAAAATCCAAATCAGAATCTCTGCAATTATTAGGTAATCCGTTAGTGTCAGCAATGGCACTGCCTCCACCTTTACCATCGGATGCTCCTCTAGGACTGGAGAACGAAGATGGGGCTGCAGGAGGAGCGATAGATCAGCAAGACCCTTCAGAAATCGAAGGGGCCAATAATTTGCCGCCTGACGACCTAAACCTGTAATCCAGTGCGAAAAATAAACGCCAAATCGGTTGAGTTTCGCGTTATTATTTTGTACAAGGTACTCCAGAGATAGTCGGATTGTTGATTTTTATATGAAATGTTGATTTGGAATTACATTTTTTTATACATGGTAAAAAACGTTGCTTCCGTATCATCACAAATAAAATGCAGAAATTGGTCAGGTTTATAATCGGTAAAAAGGATAAAGTAAGATTACGTCGATACAGTTTGTCGCAAATTCCTCCACTTTAATCATAACTTTTGTTTTCAACAAAAATATAGTTGGTTATGTTATGACAGAGACGTTTTGCTTCACTATTGTACAAGTATTTTATGTCACTACAACATTGTTTTACCACTCGTCATACCGGTTTATTTACAGGTTTTTCGCTGTGTTATCATCTTCAGGGAAACACAGGTCGGGCGAGTGGTAAAACATAGTGATGTCAAAGAATCCAACATTACACACAGGTATTTTTTGTTTAGATGTCGGTAAAAGTTATGACGAAGGGATACTTTTTGGACCTCTTCGAAAACATTGGCATATATGTATATGACAATTTTTAACCACTTTTCAAACGTCATTTAACATGGTTTTTATGAAAGTTGTGTCGGAACGTGTTTTTTTCCTATAAAATTTCTAGAGTACCTTGTTTGCTTTAGTCACATTTCATGTAATCTATTTGATGAATTGGGTGTTTTGTAGATAATTGCAAGTCTGGGGGTTTCGTCGCTTCACGGAAGTGTACTTATGCCTTGGGTAAAAAAGAAAAATGAAGAACCTACATTAGTTTTCAAGATAAGTTAAAGTAGTTTTCTAATATATATATTTCCGTTTTTGCACCGGAAAAAACCTGTTTAAATTTTAACCACATGGCATAACTATACTTACTGTTACACCCAAGACTGTCTATAGGTGCGTGCTATTTTTTACTAAAAATCTATTTTCTGTTTTTATAAAAAATATATCAAAACGTTTCACGATTGCACAAACAAGGTGAGCATCTGCAATCTGCAAAAAATGAAATAAAATGTCCCCTTCAACGTGTAGTTTTGTAGTACTAATTGCGTTAAGATACGTTTTTGATATAAGTGTACTAATTTTGTAAACATATGAAATTTTGTAAACTGAAATTATTCTAAAGTATATTATGGTGTTGTAAAGGCAGCATTCTTGATAAACGATTTAGTTGGAAATCTTTTTGTCTTGAGTCCATCATATCAACAGATGATGTTAACATATTTGTTATATAGTTCCTCAAAGTAAATCCATTTTGAAAGTAAAGTCTAATATACTTGTAACTTCACCACATACAAACGTACCAAGAAACACCAAGTTGGGAAAAGTCAGGACCATACTCGGCTTCTAAAGATGCGAGCTACTGCGCTTTTAACATCTGCACACAGTAGATGTCAAATTCTAAAACTTTTGTAGAAATCAAAAATTCCATGACGACTGATACTAAGCCAGGGTATTGAAGTCTTGCGTTTTCAGAAGAAACCTGTAAGTCTTGCTAATATCGACTATAAACCTTATTGTCCTTTTTAGAATATGAGTAAAAAACGAGTTTCCATGTCTGCACGACCATACCATTTATATTTGAAACGACAGAGATGATACATGCGTACTGATTTTTGATGGCATACTTGAATAGATTGACATCAATAGCTATAATTCTAACTAGTAAGCTGATATGTGAAATAAATTGCTGACAATTTTCGTGCGATCCCAGCATAGAAGTGCATTGTAATTGAGAAAAGATGGCATGGTTGAAAACCTTTCGTTTAAAAAAAAAACTTAAACTCACGTTACTTTCCATAAATCTATAAAACCACTGATCATTGTAATCTCAAGTAGTTTGCTGATAATGCCAAATGGATATTACTATGGTACTTAGCGCAATTTTTCGGCTGTGTTGTGCTCATAAATTAATATAAGGTAGATCGCTGATTTCGCTTACCACCTCGCAAAACTTCCATTTGCCTTGAAATCTGGGGATCAGAGTAATTTTACGCCTCCAGAAAAAAATTCTTGGAGTTTTGTATTTCTTTTGATATCAACCCTTGCCTCCACAATAGTGTGTCTGGATTCAGAAACTAAAGGTAACTTCAATCTTTTGTTAACAGATCATTTCCAAAATGTTTGCGGACTAGCCACATTATTATTGCTTCAGCAATATGATGTATGCACAATTCTAACAGTATATTCTTCACTTTTAAAGTCCAATAATAAAACTATTATGAGGCTGTAACTATGTCAGCTATCCACCATATATTTTTTTAATTTGAAAGTATGTTAATCACCACATATATTCATTCACATTCCCCTGCAAATGCAAATCCTTGAGACTGAGATTTAAATGTGTTTTTATTTTGCTCATTTTTTAAAATTATTTTATACATAGCTAGATATTTATACAATGAGTGGATTTAAACACTAACACTTATCCTGTATATTGTTTGTTAATATCTTTTATATCATTACTACTCATTTTTGAAAATATAGAGAGGGTTTATATTCAAGTGTTAGTTGTCAGATATTTTGTTTAATGTGTACTGCTGGAATATAGACATTTTTATCATATGCTTCATTATTAAAACAAAAGGTATTTAAATCAAATATCTTCAAATTTACACACATATTTCATATCAGTACTGAAGAAAACACTGCCTGGTATCAAATTTTAACAATATTTTTATATGTAAAAATAATCATAAACTTATTAATAGTTTATTCATCTTGTGTTGATCACATTGAATAGATAAAAAAACATTTCATTTTATTTCTATCATATTATGTTGAGTTCTGTGACAATGGTTTACGAAACCCTCTGCATATTTAATAAAAATGATCAAAGTTAACTGATAATTTTGATATCTAGATGCTGAATATGAATTACATATTTATTTCAGCAGTAATCTTGTCTTTTGATTTCTATTTTGAAAACTGTAATTAATCTTAAATGTCAATCTTTGCTTACTTTTTTTATATAACTCCTGTAGCTTAAGGTTTTGTACTCATTTATTACAAATACATGGAATTTGAATGTAAATGTGCCTTCTTTCTCAGTAGGAAATAATTCCATCCAGTTTTTGCACTATAGGAAACTTGGGAAGAGAGGTTAATTTTGCTGCTAAGTGAGCAGTATCATCAACAACACTCCTTATTATAAACTGCTGTTTTGATTTGATGTAGACTATCTACATCGAGCATTAGAAATGGAAGGACCTCTGAAGAAACCTGCCACTCGAGCTAGTGAAATGTTAAGAAATTTCAACTAACAACAGCCTTTAGACCCGAATCAAGACAGTAGTTTATCAACTGGCTGCGAAAGCCTTAACTAATTTGTCACTCCTTATTATGCTTCATTTGTGCAATATTGAATGTATAATATTTTAAGGTAAACCATTCATAAGAACATACACATTTATTGACATTTTCAAAATTAAAATTTACAAAATAAAGGCATAGATATTATTTATTTAAAGGTTCCTGTAATCTGAAGCAATCGCTCACAATCTTCCACTTGTCACCCTGAGCAGTTACCACAAAGTTCTGTTGGAATGTCTTTAAAGGCTTGTCCTGATACCTCACAGAACCACTCACTTGTATTATAAAACTTAACTGTCCATTTACTGCAGAATCAAGTATAGGCTGTGCATCAAGAGTAGTTATGGAATGATCTGTTGTGGGTAAATCTATCATGAACTTGAGTATGTTTTGGTTTCCTGTAACTCCATTGCCATTCCATGATAACAGACCAGTGTCAAGGTATAGCCTGGATATCAGCTAAAATTTATAAATATAAATTTGGATCATTGACATGAAATGATACCTTACATGTCTTTTTCTATCCACGGTCTCGTAGTATAATTTTGTGAATTCTTCAGCTACCCTGCATGCGTCGTTAATCTTCGCTCTTGCCTAGGAAAAAAGTAAATGTTTAACTGGGTTTAAAAGGCAAAACAGCATACCTGATCCATTATGCTATCTTCAGAATATATATCAGTGACCTATGGAAGAAAGGCACCCGAAACCAGAATGCTATCTGGAAACAGATTCAATTATCATTCATATAAAAATTAAATTTTCAATTTATTCCTTGATGCCCTTTGAAAACACAAGTTGGGGTTAGAAGTTTGACAATTGAGTTGAGGAAATGACTTGTCAAGGCTGGAAGAGACTACGACTGCAGTGTTGCCAAGTCGCGAATTTTCGCATTAGAGATACAGCTCGACGCACGGCCATATTCTACCTGAATATAACTAATAGTAATATACTATATTCGTGCGTCTGAAAAATTATTCAAGATAAAGTGAGATACCGTAGCGTCATATATGAGAATTTGTCACAGCTATGTTTCTCCTCTTCGCAGTTTTAGAAGTCTACTTTGAAAAGGCTCGTGTCCCGTACACGGTGTTGTAGCGATATGATCATATACATATAGTACATATATTATTAATTGACTACATCGGCATCTATGGGACACTAGCGTTTTAAATGTGATTTCATATTCATTGCGGAGAGGAGAAGGATATAGATTTAAGGTTAAGTTGAAAAACGCTAATCTTAGCGACACTTCGCCTTTTTTGTACTTTTACTTAAGTACGAAATAAAGCCCATTTATTATTATTATTATTATTTTTCACCATTCTTGGCGATTCCGACGACATCGCCATATGAGATAAGTAAACCGATCGAGTCTCCGTACCATGGGCGGATCTTAATTGTCCTAACTGAGCGTAACCGATTCAAAATCATTTACTAATCGTAATTCTCAACAGTCTTCCAATCTAGCATATAAACATCGGTAGAGTATGACACGCCATTTGATGTTTTCTGAAGTTGAAGTAAAAAATTTCATACATTGTGATTTTATTCGCTGAACACTGCGCAGGCTAATCTTCAGCGCATCTGCTATTCTCTCCAGTACGCATGAAGTGGGTAACAGGGGACCGCTGTTTTGATTCTCTTCCTGAAAATACTCTAATAAATTTAGCGCGAGCTGTCGGCCTTCTCCATTGATCATATTTCCGAGCATTGTACAATTTTATATTGAAGATTGATAACGACAGGATTACTCAAATTGCACGCCGATGTCAAGTAAGTTGTCACTATGATAAATATGATTGAAGGGCACTCATACGTTACTGCAAAGTTTTCCAGCCGGAGACACTCAACTAAAAAACGTACGTCTTCGAGCTCACTGAAAAAATGTTCACAGACAGGGGTAGGTTGCATGTGTATGTATGAGGGAGATGGAGATATATAAAGGGATACTGGTAGTCTTACTTTGACCCGCCAAGAACGGTGACTACAACTATAGCTGTGATAAATCCTCGTAGATTACGGTACGATATTTCATTTCATCGAGGATAGTTTTTCGGGCGCGATAAATATTATTGGTTTTGCTATTTTCAGGTAGAATACGTTAATCAGTGGTAGACGGAATAATTTGTGTTGTATAAAAGTTGTGTGTTACATTGGTTCTTTGATTAGTATATAAACATTAGTTTTGCTTCGAGCTCTGCTACGTCCAAGATGTATGTGCATAAATCCTTCATTGGTTGCTAGGTTGCCCAAAAGTATATTCCATATTTTTTTCGAATATCATAGCGAATCTGTTCAATTACTCACAAATACGAAATGTTTGAATTTGTTTGAAAAAACTCGTGTATTTTGCTATAAAATGCCCTTTGAACGAACCCTGTAGATTGCTCAGTAAACTAGTAGTGATGGCCATAAGATAGGTGTTTTGGGATAAACAATTTGAAATTCTCAAATACTACTTGACCAATCGGCTCCAATCTTGTTGCGGTAATTTAGAAGTATGAAGCGTACGGATCTGCAGAATTTCAAGTAGCTGCGTGAAAGTATCGAAGCATTAGCAACAAGTACCAAAACCTGCATTTTGCCTCGGTTTTCGGCCATAACTTTTTTACTATTATTCGGATCTTTTTACGTGTCTCATTCTGCAGGTCTTATAAATTCCTAAAAATCTCGTTTGAAGTGTTTTTTCGTTCCTGCCAACACTTGGGTTTTCCTTCATTTTAAAGGATACCGCATCATTCTAAGATCATACTATACCGTGGGATTCGGAAAATGGTATATTTATAGCGTAGAAAGTACATCCAAAAATAACTATAACAAAAATAATCGATTTGATGGTAAAGAAATTGGTGGTCCCGTGTTTTATCGAATTTGTATTACTGCACGTAAAATTAAAAAAAAATTAAAAATACTCTATGGTGTTCCAAATTCATTGATTTTAATTTTTTGAGGTAGTAGTAGTAATCATTTCAAACGTAAAATGTAAAATACATACCCACTATTATGTAGAAGGTGAAAATCTCTTCATTGAAATAAGGTATATTTTTGTTGTATAATTTGAAAATCATATAAGACTTCGAACTCCATAGCGCACGTGACCGCAAATGCACTAGCGGCGTCGATTCAAAGGAGAGGAAATTCTAGAATAAATAGATATATATGGTACAACTAAACATTTAAACCTAAAAAGTACATAGATTGTTGTGTCTGTGTTTACTTTTTGCGGGCTGTACGAATATACACTTGCTACGGCAGTGTGAATCACAGAACAAAAAATTTGGACCTAAAGTAGCATTTTGAAGTTATGCGGTAGCATTTTTTTAGTCAACACAATATATGTAATTTATTAGGTAAAAGATATTAGGAAAACCTCAATCGTTTCTTAAGGCTGCACAAAGTAAATTTCAACGGTTTTTTAAAGTTTCCTCATTGTAATTAAAATTCGGTACAATCTGGGTCAGGCCGAAAAAAGATGAATTTCATGCAGATATTTCTGTTTTTTATACTAAACTAAATCGTGTATTATAGTAGCTATAGGATGACGTATGTTTTGAGAATCTACATAAGTTCTAGTTCTTGAAATTAGAAACATCTGGACCAAATTAAAATTTGTGTCCAACAACATATGTACTGTCGATTCCTTTCACCACACTTGCAACGAATTCTTAAATATATAGGGGGTCTCCTCCACGAGCTGTCAAACGAAGGCGCCCGATGTCAATTTGAGGTATTTCTGGAAGACCTCGTGCTTCCACTGATGGTGAGCTCTGCTCAGCGTGGCGACAGAGAATGTCATGTGGTAGTACTGTTAGACGACGATACGGTTGACTGGGACGAGGAGTACCCGCCACAAATGGGCGAGGAATATAGTCAGACAGTTAACAGTACCGCCATGTACAGGTTCTTTAAGTACATCGAGAACAGAGACGTCGCCAAGCAGGTGCTGAAGGATCGGGGCTTAAAGAAGATACGGCTTGGAATTGAAGGTTAGTGAAAACCAGATCACTTGAGCTATATTGTCTGTTTCACGAGTATCCATTACGGTAAAATAACAGCTGATTATCTACTAATATTTCAAAATTCCCCATATCGGCTAATGACACGTAATTCTCACTGATCCGTCAACGCCAGGTAGACATAGCCGTATTTTGTTTAGTTTTTGTATGCTACAGATTCATTTTGTACTTGCTGAAGACACTTTCATTTAGAAAAGTTTACTTGCATACAGAAAAATCGCCATAAGCAAGTTTTACCATATTTACACCCGATTCATTATTGGCAACATGGCAATGTTACCAATACAAAGATGTCACTTGCTTGCAGCTGTTCACCTCAGTAGAGGTCAAAACGTGATGGATACTCGTGAAATGGAGTTTGTGGCATCTTCTTATATTTGCTTTGCTTAATTCAGCATCTTTATTACGTAAAAAAATCCAGTTGAGGTGACAGTAGCCGTAACTGTTAAATGTAAAATTTGGAATAGATAATATTAACCATAGCTTGCACTACATTTTAAAGAATACGTTAATCAGTGCAGTGCGTATTAGGTATATATGACGAAAGTAATGTTTAATAGCATGCCTTCCTGACATCTGAATTGCATTTTTTACTCAAAAATGTCGCTGTCCATCTACAGTAAAGGCAGAAACACATTATTATTGTAACATCTGAAACATATCCTATAGTTTTCATGCTGATAGAACTCCATGTTTCTCTTGCCATATGAAACCACATATGTCGAAATTACACATTATTGACGTTTCAGTCACATCGTGGCCTTTTCAAAATAAGGATCGATAAAAATGACAATAGAAAAATATTATGATAATAGCAATATAAAAAATATTTTTTTTATTTATTTATTATATTTAGTCCTATAGGATAGTATCCTGGGACCACTTCTTTTCATCTTGTATATAACTCATTTGTCCAGTATACAAAAAAATTGGAAAATCCAAATTTTTGTTGATACTTTAATTTTTATGTAAATACTCAAAATTTTAATCCGTTATTTTTCTTATTAATAGTGACTATAAATTTGTGACAGAACGGCTAATATCTAACAAATTAAAATTGAACACTGACAAAACAACCGCTAGGATTATTGGGAAAAACATTGTATAAATGTATACGTAAATATTAGCGGTAAAACATTGATGTTATAGATTTTTTCAAATACCTTGGCATAGTAGTTGACAGTATTAGAGTTTAACTCTATACAGTAAGAAATATATAAATTATAATACAATTGTGTTGCCAATTTTTTAGTATAGTGCAAAATATACAAAAATAGTTGTATGATAATAATACTAAATAAAAATAAATATACGCCAAAAAATGATATGCCCAGTACCTTAGAATGGCTTAACATTGAACATTTCATTGAAAATCATGACTAGATTTTTATTTATAAAATGAAAAATAATTTATTGCCATCTATCTGCACTAACATCTGTAAATGCCTACTATCATTTTTATGATACCTGACTCCAAGCA